TAGAATCAATGCATATATATTTTTTCTTTTGAAAACGTAAGAAAAGGAAATATTTGTATATAATAGCTAACATAACGTACAATCTAAACGTAATCACTAAAAAGCATAAAAGAACATTTTAACTATCTGAACAAGATACATTACACTGTAAAAAATAAAGCGTGCCCGCTATTGTGCATTTCGAGTACAAAGTGATGTGGAAATTGTCAGTGTGTAATCTGAATTTTTATCTTGCGTTTCTCTATCGCAAAAAAAGGAATTTGAGGAGTTGGAATTTCTGCTTCCTCTTAAGCATGAGTAGTAAAAGCATAACGATAGTTTTCACTGAAAAAAAGTGATTTTCACACTAGATATCCACAGACATGTTCATTTTTCTTTTGCTTATTACTCCGTGTTGGTAAGTCGGTTTAGGTTGTCATTTCTACCCTTTTTCAAGCACATGAAATACTATATATACTAAAGAATTCTTCTGAAAATTTCGTTTTGTTCTTGAGATATTCAAAAAATAAGGCGAAAATGTCCACTGACATTAAATTCGAGATATTTCTTTGAGAACTTCGCAGAATTTCAACTTATTATATACCATTTGATTCGCCACTGGAAGTTGCGGCAAACTACACATTTGAAACCGCTCGCTTTTCCACTTCTGAGCCAAGGAATTTCCAAGGATGCGCTGAACATAAGAAATTACTATTTTTTAGCCCGGAAATAGGGCTTTCAAATTATGTACTTTGATTTTAAGTAAAATTAAGTTTTTCATAAAAGCTCGAGGAAAAACTGCTGTTACAGACACTTTTCAAAAGTTTGTCCTGTGAGACCTCAAGACGGTCTTCATACGACACAAATGCTTTAAAAAAATTTTCAAATAGGCAGAAATCTAGAGTAAGAGTAGCTCTACATTTTGCTAAAAAAGGTTTTCTTCTAAGTCTTTATGTCTCAATAAAAACCGTGTTTGAATATGCTACACAATGTTGTTTTCACGCAAAATGTCCTGCGAGATTTAAAAAATGGTTTTGTCTATAACTCAACGATGAGTGATCCATTTGTGGTCAAAATTTTACCCTCTTTTCCTTCTTGGGCGCTTAGTATGTGATAATAAAACGAGCTTTCAGAAACACTTAGTTCCTGAGAAAAGCGCAGTTTACATAAAAAATGTTCTGTGAGATTAATTCTGTCGATAACTTGATCAAAACTGAGTGTAACTTACACTCATAATACATCAGTAGATTTCATCATGGCAGGGCTATCTATCACACTAAATTTAAATCCTTTTGGACGCATATTCGTTATGCAAAAAGCTTTCGGTTCGGGTGTTGCGTCGGATTTCCTGCGAGTCCCAGGAGTGGTACCCAGCGACTATTGGTAGCCTTGAAAATGGATGGACTATAGGTAATCGATCATGCTGAGCCTTGTACCAATATTTGTTTTTAGAAAAAGTTCTAAAAGTCTACTGAAAAGCGAGTTTTACGAAAAGTAGGGTTTTCAGCCTGTTTGCACCTAATATCAAAAAATTCACTATTCACTCAATAAACATCAGAAGGAATTCAAGACTTCAGAATGTAGAGTATTTAAGCTATTCTGAATCTTATTTATAGGAGATCTCAAAAGAAATTTTACAAAATTCTAAGATTTTCTAAAAGGGTTTCTTGAAAACCCATTAGCACAAATATGCTTTTCGATTTTTTCGATCTTATAATCATGTTTAGCGGAGAAAATCAACCATATCCTGAAGGTCTGAACTAGTTCTGAGGGAATAGTGAATTTTTTAATATTAGGTGTAAACCGCACAACATAATGAAACAAACTTAGATCAAAAACCATACTCGCACCCACACACAAACAAGCGAGAGAGAAAAAGAAAGAAATTATATCGTTTCATTCTTCTAAATGTATACAGTGTGTTTATACCTAAAGTCATCAGGTAAAAGTAACTAATTAAAATTTGATCAATTCTGTTTTCTACCTAACTGTACACATGTCAATTGATTACTTTATTAGTAAAATAAAGCATACACAGGTTAAAATGAACACATAAATGTTTTATTGCGCTCGATAAACGTAATCACATTTAAGGTCTTTTGTGAAAACTCATTTGACATCTCGAAGTTACAAAGGTTACGAGTATATTGTCCACTCTCTGCATTCTGTTGAACACTGCTAAGAATTTAGTGTCAATTACTTTGTACGAAAGAAATGGCATTTGAACCGAATCTGTTTGAGTTATCCTCTGTCTCGATACAACAGCCTACACACAATGATACATCGACTTCAAACCCGCGGATAGCAGGAGAAAACATCTACTTGGATGAACTTTGTGTGAATGAATTAAGCTTTATTAAAGAAAATTCACTATTGTGTGATACACAGACAACATTTAATTGTACCACTCAATCACCTTATGATGAAGTAAATGCTAGTGTACCAATTATTAATGATGATAAAATGCCATATTTAACATTTCGAACTGTATTCATTAGTTTATTGTTGACTATAGTTGTATCAGTATTGAGTGCTGCCTTTTCATTCAGACGATATCCACTTAATACTGATATTGTCATTTTTCAATTAATATCAATGTCACTTGGCCAGCTGATGGCTCGTTTATTACCTCAGACAATGTTTCAACTTTATAGATGGAAGTTTTCTCTTAATCGCGGTCCATTCAATATCAAAGAACATTCATTAATAACAGCTGTGGTGTATCTCAATGCAGATACGGCATATGCCATTTATCAACTAACGGCGTTACACATCCACTACGGAAGACCGATTTCGTTTGCTGCTGGATTATTTCTTCTTATTTCGAGCAGAATGATGGGATTTGGTATGGCAGGTGAGTAGAAGAAGATGTGATCAGAATCCACTTTCTTAGACTATCAGTGATTCGTCAGAGCACCTTGCTCGCAGAATGTATTCTGGCGGGTGACATATATTTTATAAGTGAATTGCATTGCTATCCAATCTTTTATCTTCGATGTCTTTTCCTGTGGCAACAAACTTGCACTCACGAAAATACCAGTATATCACCGATTCGAAATACGCTTTAATGATAAGAGTAAATGTACTTTTGATCACCAAAAAAGATACTTTTGGTCACTAAATTTTCCAGCATGCATTATCACATTTTTAAGATGCACGTAAGGCAGAGTTGCAGTAAAAAAATAATGTGGTCTGATGTCGAATATGGTATTTTTATTGCTCAAAAGTTGAGTTCTGGTCCAGCATATTGGAAATTACGGGTAAAATTCCGACTTTTTCGTCTCTGATTTGGAAAAAGTGAGTTTTCTCAGCGAGGAAAAGAAATTTCGGGAAAAGCTCATCCCAGATTTGAAGCTTGTTCTCTGACGAATCTAACCATGTGGGAATTAAGGTTTTATGATCCTCCACAAAAAACTAGATAGATTTTTGAGAAATGGCCGCCGTTTTTGACTCTCGCGGTTCTGGAATTTTCTGCGGATAGGGTTTTGGTCTTAGAACTTCGACAGTAACTTTTTCAGATTCAGTTTTGAACGCTGAAGCCAGAAAACTTTGTTTCAAACCTTGAAAAGGTAAGCGAGAAAAACGGCAGAGCAGACTAGTTTTTCCGGTTTTGGACATGTTCTCAGTATTTTAAGAATATCTCAGCGAGAAAACATTTTCCAGAGGCGGGGACGTGATATTCGAACTCGATGCTAAATTCTCCATCGAATGATGTAATAAACGACCACATTATTTTTTACTGCAACTCTGCCTTACGTGATCTTATTTCTCAAGAAAGTATAATGTACAACACAAACATATTCATTGAGATTTTAACCAAATGAACAGTATTTTTACAGTTTTATTTATATCTATCTAAAAAATTTAAAGCAGTACTAACTTTCTTGAAACGTCCTTCTGCTTTCTGTTTGTCTATTGATTGAATACGTATTTTATCGTTAACTTGATGCAAATTAAATAAAATTGCTAATCCAACAGAATATACTAATAATGGTATAACAAGCCAATAGGATTGTTATACACACCAGAAAACTACTGAATGTATCATTGGCTAGGTATTTATCGTTTTCGTCAATGGGTTATATTCAATGGTTTTTTGGTGTGGCAACAATCCTGTTGGCTTGTTATACCATTATTAGTATATTCTGTTGGATTAGCAATTTTATTTAATTTGTATCAAGTTAACGATAAAACACGTATTCAACCATTAGACAAACGAAAAGCAGAAGGACGTTCCAAGAAAGAAAGTTAGTACTGGTTTAAATTTTTTAAATAGATATAAATAAAACTGTAAACATATTGTTCATTTGGTTAAAATCTCAATGAATATGTTTGTGTTGTACATTATACTCTTGAGAAAAAAAAAGGTGATAATGCATGCTGACAAATTTGGTGATCAAAAGTATCTTTTTTTGGCGATCATTTGTATCTAAATATCTTTTCTTAATCTTTCTAAATATATTTTTTAGATGCAAAATGATTATGCAGTCATAGTTATATTTTCTCTTTTCTCAACAATAATGTAAAGGTAGTGCATTTCATTTGAACGGTAAATTACCTTGGCTTCATTTACCTGGGCATTATCGGTTTCTTTTCACGAGCCAAAACACTGAAAACAAACTATAGAACTAGACCTCTATAATTGCTTTTGAGAAGTTCGGGTCTTTAAAAGAAATGACAGGAAAAGGTGACATGTCAATTACAACTCTCGAACGACTTTTTTGAGCGCTCGTCTTAAAATTCTGAATTTTGCACAGCTAACCTTCAGAATGCTTCTTAGAATGCAGAATTTAGAATCTCTGAACTTTAAATGCATGTAAAGTCGCACATACTAAAACTGTGTATTCTGAGAAGCATTCTCAAGGTTAACCACTTAAGGAGGAGTTCGTCTACCAGATTTTTTCCTATAAAAAAGGTAAAAACGTTTTCAATTTTTCCTCAGCTTTGGCCTCATTTTGGCTCCGTATTCTTGAATTCAAAATTCGTGTTTTAGGAATTTCGAAAATTCCCGTGTTCATTCTGTGTAGAATTTGATTCTGAATAACTTTTATACTCACAGTTTTCTTTCAGAGTTTTAAATATTGACCTCCCATACCTCCCGAAAAAACCGCATTTTTTCAAAGCTAAAGCTCCGTAACTTCATAAGGGGATGAGCTGGAAAGATGAAATTTGGTGTGTAAGTAGGACACTGCAAGAGGAGTGAAACAAAAAAAAATTGTTAAAATCGGTTCACAGGAATAGGAGTTATAGGTGAAATACTGCCAACATCAATTCTACAAAAAGTTACATTTCACTTCAATAATGATTTGGTCTAAAATACTATTTGTGCACCGTTTCAAGATTTAAAAATAGTTGTATTCGATCATACTCGACATGCGCTATCTTTTGAATATAGATTGGTTGCTTACCCGGAATTAGTGAAAATCGATCATGTCCTTCTCATGTCGCTAAAGTATTATCTCAGGTAAAAACCATGATAAACAACTTCTTCACTCACATTGCCGCTCTAAGAACCTTTCCACAAAGTAACTGCAGGCAAGATGTCGAAAAAGCACACTTTTGGTCGTAAAAACTATTTTTCAAGGTGAATTGTCGTTTCGAACTTTAGAGTTTGTATTTGCATCCGCGCAACTCTTTTAGTTCAGGAGATTCTATTCAATGCGCCTCTTACAAAATGTTCTTTTCAAAGCACATGAACAATGAAAGTACGAGCATCGATTCAGGAATCCAGATCTTTCAAATGTTTAGCCAAGTTAATTGCATGCAATGTTTTAGTAAAGAATTATAAACAAGAAGCTGGAAAGCTTTACTTATGTTAGATATGAGAGAAATTGGTCGATAATTTGAGCACAGGTTTCGGGCTCCCTTTTTATGCATTGCTCTCACTATCGCTTTTTTCCAAGGTTTCGGAAAAACTCCTTGTTTTATAGAAAGGGTGAACAAGTGATGCAATTGTGGTAAAATAACATCAGAACATAGTTTCCGCGCGACTCTTTTAGTTCAGGAGATTTTATTCAACACCCCTCTCACAAAATGTTCTTTTCAAACCACACGAACAATAAAAGTACGAGCAGCTACGTCTTTACATCACCATTTCACTATGTTTCTAGGAAAAAAAACATCAATGGTCTCCGGGGCCTAGTGGCTGGACATTGACCGCGGTCTGGTGACTCACTCCCATGCCCACTGCCCCCTACGCTTTTACGTCATTATGTTTTTTTATGTCTTTTTGAAATTTTCCAATAGAAATTCGACAGGCTTTCGACACTGTCGAATTTCGAGTGAAAATTTTCAACAGACTAAAAATTCGACAGTGTCGAAGTTTTTTGTGTCGAAACTTGACACTGTCGAAACACGCTGTCGAAAAGTGTTTCTGTCGAACTGCAAAATTACCAAAGCAGGCGGACATCAGAATGTTTTATTCGTGAACCATTTCTTCGCGAATAATTCTAATTTCATAGGTATCTCTGATGCCTTTCAAGAAAAATCAACGTTCCACAAAAACATCACCTTTCTCAGAAAATTGATCTTTCTAGTCTTTAGGAAAGAACTTCGATGAATAGCTTATATTCGATCCGACACTTGCTGCGTTATATATAATTCGATGTAACTACATGTACTGATTCTGAATATGGCGTATGGTATAGCTAAATGGATCTACATGCCGTTTGCTTTTTTTATTTCTCCAGATTCATTCAAAAAAGGTTCTCGCCTCATGCGCCTGTGTGATCAGCTTAGTTTTTGACTATATGATCTTTTACGGATTTTAGCACTAGGAGCCAAACTCTTTAACTCTTCAATAATTCAAGCATAAATGTTCGTTTCAACAGAAATGAGCTGAAGTCTGTCTGTTTTTCTGTTTCAGGCTTAATGAGACGTTATCTAGTATGGCCAGCAGGAATGATATTTCCAAACGTCATTCTCAAGTGTGCGATACTTCGAATGTTGCATGAAAACAAGAATAATGAAGATTCAAATCTCGCAACATGGAAAATGGGACAACTTCGATTTTTCCTCATTTTATTTATTATTCAGTTTGTTTATTACTGGATACCGGGCTATTTCATGCCTATACTAACATCATTTTCACTACTATGTTTTATGAATCAGAAGAATATTGTATTTGGCCAATTAACCGGATTCTATGGTCTGGGTATGGGAGCGCTGCAGCTTGATTGGCAGTCTGTAACAGCATTTTTACAATCACCAATTCTGTACCCGTGGTGGGCTCTATTCAACATTCTTATTGGTTTCATTGGTATATACTGGATAATTGTTCCGATATTGTATTATACGAATACAATGAATGCAAAAGTTCTACCTATATTTTCGGACGACTCATATGCTAGAGATGGTAGTTCATATAACTATTCACTAATCACGGATGGCAACTTCCATCTAAACCAGACAGCTTATGAGCAGTATGGTGGTGCCATGTTGACACCAGCATTCACAGTAACGTTTTGTATCCAGTTTGCAGTCATAACATCAATTATTGTTCATACCATCTTGTATCATGGTAAGGATATCTTAAAGCAATTCAATATGTCAGCTGATG